AGGAAACTCTCGGCCAGTCAAATATATATACTGTACACTAGGAAACTCTCGGCCAGTCAAATATATATACTGTACACCAGGAAACTCTCGGCCAGTCAAATATATATACTGTACACTAGGAAACTCTCGGCCAGTCAAATATATATACTGTACACTAGGAAACTCTCGGCCAGTCAAATATATATACTGTACACTAGGAAACTCTCGGCCAGTCAAATATATATACTGTACACTAGGAAACTCTCGGCCAGTCAAATATATATACTGTACACTAGGAAACTCTCGGCCAGTCAAATATATATACTGTACACTAGGAAACTCTCGGCCAGTCAAATATATATACTGTACACTAGGAAACTCTCGGCCAGTCAAATATATATACTGTACACTAGGAAACTCTCGGCCAGTCAAATATATATACTGTACACTAGGAAACTCTCGGCCAGTCAAATATATATACTGTACACTAGGAAACTCTCGGCCAGTCAAATATATATATTGTACACCAGGAAACTCTCGGCCAGTCAAATATTTACCCTTCACTGTTAAATCTACATTTGCCAAGTGTAAATTGCGCACTTCACATGTTCACCCTTATTGGGGAGGGCGAAAAAGGTGGAAATTTAACTGCAGCAAAGAATTCCTAGTATACAGTATACCAATCTTTCCACCATAAAGACAACAAAGAAAATTAATGACCACGTTTAATGAAAGTGACAATTTTGTCCAGAATGTGTCTTTCAAACTCAAAAAAAAAAAGATTCAAAACACGACACAAATTGTTTGTTGGACATTTATATAATTCTGTACGTTATTTTTAGGTGAGATCCAAAGCTACCAGGAGAGACACATGATGAACAGAAGTGAACCCAAGTTTTACATTCATTACCTGGTGAGAGTCCTATTATAGATGTTCGTTTTTATCAGCCTCTGCTGTGAAGGGGTGCCATTGCTTTATTTCAGTAAACACAATTAAACAACTTCAATGCATAAAATGGGCTGCTGTGGTCGATAGGTTAAGGCGTCTGACATTCTGCTACCACTAGCCTCCACCACTGGGTCACGGGTTTGGGACCTACGTGGGGCAGTCGCCAGGTACTGGCCATAGGTCGGTGGTTTTTCTCCAGGAACTCTGGCTTTCCTCCACCCCAAAAACCTGACACATCCCTAAATGACCATTGCTGTTAATAGGATGTAAAACACAAATAAACCAATCCAATCAATGCATAAATGAAAAAGACTACAAAATATATTTTGCTATTTGTATCTTCTGGCAAAGAAAGAAAGATAGACTTGTATTCTGCTTTTACTTTGCTGTAGATTGCAAATATCAACAACACCATTGCTTTCTGTGACTACATGAAACAGTTAAGAAAGCGTTACATGAAGGAGGAATTTGATGACCGACTGGAGGAAGATGAGGACAATATCAGGAAAGATAGATTTCAATTGCTAACAGACAGATTCAAACAAATTGGGAACCTTGGGTAAGTCTCAGTTATGATGTCCTTTTAGAATTGTAAGAAATTAAACTGTATGGAGAAATCTGTATTGACTACAGCGGATATGATTTTCTGGATGAGCTCCCATCCTTACTGAACATATTAGCTGCACCACCTTTTTTGGGTGTCATCTACAGCAATATTTCTTGCCAGGAAATTTTCTTCTATCTATGTTTCTAACATCAGATACCAACTGTTTTCGTGTTGGTTGTGTTTACTATATCGGGCACCAAACTAATATCTTGAAACATTTGAAAGCTCGCTAAATTTTTAAATTGTGTATCATTCATTTTCTGCTTTTTGAGATAAATTGCCAAATATTACCATCACCAAAAATATTTGCAAGTGGTATGTTAAGGGTAAAATGAAACATTTTAATTACAGGTGTAACATACTCCTAGACGAGGTTTGGATTGACCTGCGGAACAGTAAATGTATTGATGAACTCCTCACTAAAAGTTGGTAAGTGACTGCCGAAGTCCTGATTCCCTTTGGTAAAAAATAGTTTTTCCTAAAAGTTTTATTTTGGCTTAAAATATTCAATTTTTATTGCAATGACAAAATCTTTATGTGAGTTTGTTATACTGCTCCAATGGGTACCTGGGAAACTTGTTAATCCAGGCAGTATTAATTGTAAGACATACATATCTCTAATCCATGGATTCTGACACTGACCAACTTTTCACCAGACCAATACAAAATCATTTAACATTTTCATGATAAAATAAAAAGCATTAATTTTGTTTTTAATTAGCAGACAACTTGAAGTCCTTTTTGATATTCATTGCATTCAGCCCTAAAAAAGTAGGTTTTATTGTTAATCTAAATGAGGGTTTCAGCATTGTGTCTGTAAGAATTCGTACAACTAAATCATTTAGTATATGTTATTACTAAGCTTTTGAGCTAATAGCGTTAATATTGAAGTTCAATACTAGTGACAACTGTCTTGAGTCATACATAGATACATACCTGACAAAGGCTTCTAAAGGTATTTTTGACAGGTTAAATCAGCTTAAATGGCAAATTAGAGTGCTACAGGCATTACTAAGGGGCACTGTATTTAACCAGAACAATTTTGAGGCAGGGATTACAATTATCATATGAAACACTTGCTGATTGGCTGATTAAGTTGTGTGAGTCAGAGCTGTGTTTGCTGATTGGCTGATTAAGTTGTGTGAGTCAGAGCTGTGTTTATGTTTTAGGTGTCAGGGATCCCACTCTGTAGACATAATCTATGCCACCTGGGCCGACTACAGCGGAGACTTTGTTCACCTCAAAGAGCCATTCAGTGTCGGACTCGTCGTAGAGGCACGTCACAGACTGCTAAAGGAGTACGTCAAAGCCATACTCTCCAAGTAAGTGACTTTTGATGAAGAAGCATCTAAAGCAAGATGAGGAATGTTTGTTGTTATTCTGAATTTTGCTGGTTCTTGTTTTTAGTTTGTCTTGGATATTACTTTTTAATTAATATATCCTGAATTTGAATATCATTGGGAAATCCATTGTATAGGGGAAATTATATTCTCTTACCTTTTCAATAATAGATTTGTTATTGCTTTATATTTACATTTGCACTGCAACCCACTATATGAACATTACCAGCAGAAATGCATTTCCTAGCGCACTTCATGCAATATGGATGTAACCGATTGGGTTCATTACCTGTAGAAAATTAAAAAAACTGCCGTTCAATCCCTATATAGATGGAAAAATTGTTACACTGAACATTTTGAAATGAACACATTTTACAAAACATAATATTTTGTCATGTAATTATCTGATTGTAAAAATAGCTGTCCAATGACATTGTAAGGTTATATTATATGTACAAGACCTCACAGTTGTTGTAAGGTTGTATGTACCAGGCCACACAGTTGTTGTAAGGGTGTATGTACAAGGCCACACAGTTGTTGTAAGGTTGTATGTACAAGGCCACACAGTTGTTGTAAGGTTGTATGTACAAGGCCACAGAGTTGAGAAATTGGTAAATAAAAAAACAGGTGTGCCCAGAGATACACAGAAAAAGAAAAAAAAAATGGACATGAATACTTACTGTAAAGAAAGAGAACTCTAAATGTACCATCGTCATATGCATTGAATATTCAGAGAAAGTGTTTTTCTCCTGCCCACACAACTTCAACAGCCCAGGTGGAGTATAAAATGGTCTGGGGTGGATGTTGCCGAAGCTGTGCTATGGCATTCAAGTGATCAGGTGGCACTATAAATCATACCGTTGGAAGTACGGTCCCACTACAAAAAAGAACACAATACATCTCCAGCATGCACGCAGGCATACACAAATAGGGAGATATTAGCCAGGTGGTATAGGTCTAGTAGTTAGCGCCTGATAAGGCAGCTCCTGCAAATTCCTCAAAATTGTATTGATTGATGTATATGCTAATTGTATTCATTGTATTAAATTGTATATCTATGTACTGTAAAGCGCTTTAGAGTGGCTTATGTTAGCTAGATAGGACGCTATATCAAATGTTGTATATTTATTTATTTTTATTTATTCATTATTTCACAGAAAGCTACCGCTGAAGAATTATGCTGAGCGTAAACCAATAGCTGATAAAATCTGCACAGAAGCTGATAAGCTGCAGGAACTGTTTAAAGAATATGGAAGCAGAAAAGCAGTAAGAATTTATGTTCAGTTTTAAAAAAAAATCTCTCTTTCAGAAGAATGTCAAAGATCAGTGAAAATAAGTTAAGATGCAGTATTAAAGCTTAATTCCTGACAAGTCTGACCTGTTTTTATCAGATTGTCTTCATGGAAGGACATATAAACTTCCAGTTCTTTACTAGCTGTTTTATAAAATAGATAAAATGTTTGAAGGAATCTTTCACTATATATCATCATGAGGCACACTGCGGCACACCTTAAGGCAGAACTCTTATTCGAATGTCAAGGTTACAAAGGTCAGAGTTCAACCACTTAATTCTCCAAGTTACTAAATATTTTTGGTTGTAAACATTGTTCGAATTTGTTTCAGGGGGACACAGATTTTGGACCCCTCAAGTTGTTGGCTGAAGTGTGGAAACTCAGAGATACCTCCATGATGCAACTCGAAATAACAGTGGGAAACTTTCATTTCTTTTCAATTGAGTTTGATTTAATAAGACTATTTTGAAAATCATTGATGGATTTTTTCATCAAATAAAAAGATTACATGCCTTCTGGAAGTTTGTTATAGAAATTATCCTGTAGCTCATTCACCCCTGAAATTTCATAATGGACTATTCCAACCTTTCAACTGGAAGAGTTCAAACGTGTCTTCCGGGGTTAATGAGTTTCAGAGTACGAATTTTAATGTAAAAGTAGATATGATTAGTGGTAAAACCAATGCTGTATTAGTATTTGTGAATTACTTGCCATGTAAGAGATCAGACTGTCGAATGTGTACGTACAGGTGATAGATCTTGTTGTAGGATCAAACATTCATTGGCCTTGGTAACATAAAACTTGAGAGTAATTTTTGTGGTTGTCTGTGACAGGGACTGGTGGTGAAACACCCTGACATCCGTACGGAACAGCTGATCAGCCTGCTGATGGGGCGTGGGGATATGAGTCGTGTGGAAGCTAGACAGGTACCTCATTACTACACGTCTGTCACTGAAATTAGTCTGTCAGTGTCATGTTTACACTGCTGCTGGTATGGCATGTAACTGATGTGTATGTCCACAGTCTGTCAACTTGTCCTGTAATGGTATAAAAGTTCCAAACATGAAGGGTTCCTGGTCAAAGGGATTAAATATTGTCAGATTTCACGAACTGTCCACCTTCCACCACCCTGGGATCACGAACTGTCCACCTTCCACCACCCTGGGATCAGGAAGGCCCCAAAAGAAGAAATCCTGGATAATGTTGATCAATATTATATAGATTCACAGGAATGAGGCCCAATAAGGGAAATCAGGCTTAATGTTCAATAGAGTACTCCTGATATATGGATGGGCAGATAAAGACTAAATTTGGTATGAAGCATTAGATTTTGTGTCGATTGAGAATGTGACAGAACTCCCAAGCAAATTAAGACTTCAGATTATAGCGGGTGTCCTGGACTACATATGTAACCAATTTGCTTTTATATAAGCATACTTTTTTTTTAAAATGCCATTCAATCTTTATATGTATACTCCTAAAGAGACGGTTGACAGATTGTGGGCTTGGTACACCCTCTTTTCGTATTGCAGAGTTATCTGCTCCTGTGAGCAGGTATTGATTGTTACGTCATTTGTTTGTGAGAGTAACGTTAACGTCATCAGTTTTTGAGAAAACGACGTAATTTTCTCACACAATCCAATGACGTAACAATCAATACCTGCTCACAAGAAAAGATAACTCTGTAATACTTAAAGACAGAATGGGAGGAAGCATCCCTAGGTACATTGATATATTAATCATTGTATACGCTTGTATAAATTTCTTCAAAACAAAAATATGTTGCCATAGAAGTTTAAATTCACAGCAAAAATATACATATGTGTACAGCGTTAAGATCTGGAAATGTGCTGTACCATGTAACAAAATGATGGTTCTTTACAGATGGTTCAAGACACGGTTGGAGAAGATGACCAACTGAAACCCAAACCAAAAGGAATATTCACCGAGGTGGCACAGATGAGCTGATCTGGTCGCAGCACCGAGGTGGCACAGATGAGCTGATCTGGTCGCAGCACCATTTGTTTTTGTACAATATTTATCCGGCAATAAGCCCATGCTTGGTATTAAGCCCACCAATGAATATTGCAGTTAGGAAGAAATGCCAGCAAAAGTTTTTTCTCTGTCCTGTTATAAGCACATCCGTAGGGGGAGGTGCTTATTACAGGACAGAGAAAAAACTTTTGTTTACAGTAGGCGATTATGTGTTGGCCCCCTGGGATAAATACAGTAAGATTATATTGGTTAATTGTGCTACTGTGAGGATGATAAATCAAGTTACAAAGTACACAGTCTGACCAAGAAGCAAAGCTGACAAACAGTTTAATGTTTTAAATGGAATTGTGGATTTCAGTACAGTTGTACTTTCAGATTAACCAAAGTCGCCAGATCTGCTGATCTGGTCGTTGCACCAAAATAATCATGAGTTTGCTTCCATATAATGACATATTGGATAATGTAGAGTTGCCTGGATTGGCTGATCTGGCCTCAACACCAAAACACTCCATAATTCTGGAATAGAGTGTTTCATCACATTCCGAGTATGTAGCATTTATATCATATATATATGTTGTGTACAAAATAAACAGTAGAAGTATGATCAGTCCAAATTACCAGAAAGCAACATCTCTTGTTATACAGTATGTTATGAGTTGTAAAGCATTTGGTTGCTTGTTATTGTCAAACTTGGCTAGAGGAAGTTTCCCTTTAGTAAAGATGGTAGAGCACTTGATATTTATTCCATAGTCCTTGGGTTTACTAGTGCAAGAACTTTAAACAAGTTATCTGGGTTACGTTGGCACCAATGTCAAAACCTGGGGACCATTTACCATATATAATATAAACCAGTCTACTACCAGTTCTGATTTGGTAAGCTGTGATACCAGAACCAAAATGGTGGACCACGATGTCCAGTCTGGGCCTATGACAAGTAAAACACAGACTCATACCTGGTGATAAGCCCACCCTCCACTTCTGACATGTTTTCATGCACAGGCCCCCTGGACTTATCACTGGTGGAAAACACGGTATGAAAATCTCCCAATACTTAAAAACGTGGTCACACTTGGTAGCACTCTAGAATGAGGTCTTTCTATGGAGGAGCAGTGTTATGTTACAGTTTCGAACCATCTGGATGTTTAATACTGACTCAGATACAGTTATTCATTCTGAAGAGCACTTGTCTAGTAGTTTGTTAGCATTGTCCCAGTGTTAAACAATTTATTGACAGCTGTTCAACATTATATCATTCCTGAGTGCTGATGATATGTTATATCAATGCTTTGTTTGGTGCCAATCAATTTATGTGCAATAGTTCATTTATGTATTTGTTTGTGAATGTTATGTAAAATGAAATTTAAAATAATTACATTTCTATGGTATCTTAAAAGACATTAAAGATAATTGTATTTCACCAGGTTGTTTCGGTGTTGTTTTTTTTTCCTTTTGGAATCAGAGCATGTTTATATCTTAGAGGTTTTCAATATTTAGTCCCACATCAGTTCCCGCGAGGAACTATAGATTTCGCTCCATCTGTTTGAAGATAGTTTTCTGGTGCACATCTTCTATAGGATTTCACCTCGAGTAACCAGATTTGGTATGCAAATTGATAGAGTGTTAAGTACAAAAAGTAGGTCACTGTGACCTATGGTTTAACATTTGAAAAAGTCTCTCCTGGGCACAACTTCTATACTGTTTCACATGAAGTATCCAGATTTGGTATGCAAACAGATCTTGGGATAGTGGAGTGTCATGTACAAATAAGGTCGCTGTCACCTATGGTTTGACCTTTGACCTTAACCTTAAAGTATGTCTTGGGCTTATATTGTATATTTTTTTACCTTGAGTAACCAGATTTGGTATGCGAGTATGTTTTGGCAGGTGGAGTGCAGAGTATGTCATTGTGAATTATATCCTTACATGTGTGAATAGTTCAGTGAAAAAAGACCTCATAACCGGTAGGGGACTATGGATTGCCTTGCAATACTTTGCCTTGTTCTGATTAGTCTAAAGAAAATCATGCAAATCTTCAAACCAAGTGAAACCTACAAATGAAATTGAGAAAGATCTGTCAAGTACTTCTTGAGAAAGATTTTGTACCGTCAAAATTCAATGCGGCTGCCTGGTGGTCATCTTTTTATCCAGTCAGTGATAAAAGCGGCACATATGTCGAGAATGTTTTGAAGATCACAGCATGGTCGAAGTTCACATAAACAGATCACCATCTCAACACCAATATTCCTACGCAAGGTAACGTACCCTTAAATTTGATTTGGATGTAACTAGTGCGAGTAGGCCAGGGTACTAATAATGACCAGGCAGCTCAATTAATTAGAGCGACAGTATAGTCATTAGACGTCCAGGGTGTTATGCTGGTCGGAGCCCTTGCATATTTGCTGTTAATTGTTGGTCTTTGTCTTTCATTTTTAGCTCGCCTGGCCCAAAGGGCCAAATAACCTATGGTGTGGTGGGGCGTCCGGCGTCAATATTTTACTTTCAACAACTTCTTCTTAACAAGAGGCCCAAGAGGCCCAAGAGGGCCTGTATCGCTCACCTGAATATTTAAGCAGTCATAGCAAAATATTCTCATTAAAAAATATTATAATGCACTAAAAATATTTCCCTCACAAACTTTGTTGGCTCCATCTGTTGAAACTACCAGCAAAATATTATTACAAGATTCTATGCTTTTTGATTCTTCAGAAGTTGCTTGACATNATACCTTTCAGTTCTTCAGAAGAAGTTGTTTGAAGTGTTTGACACATTTGACCCCTGTGACCTTGAAAGTAGGTCAAAGTCATTTTCATTCTCAAACTTTGTTAAGCTCCATCCCAGGAAGCCATCAGCCAAATATGAAGATTCTATACCTTTTAGTTCTTCAGAAGAAGTCGTTTGAAGTTTTTGACATATTTGACCCCTGTGACCTTTAAAGTAGGTCAAGGTCATTTTCGTTCTCAAACTTTGTAGGGCTCCTACCAACAAACCTTTCAGCCAAATATCATGACTCTAGGCCTATCCATTCTTCAGAAGAAGTTGTTTAAAGGAAAAGTTGACGGACGAGGACGGACGGACGGACGGACGACGCCACACCACGACATAAGCTCACTTGCCCTTCGGGCAGGTGAGCTAATAACCGAAAGGCCTAGCCTGATGATATTTGGCCAGGAACAAACCGGGATGAAAGGCTACGAAGTTTGTTCAAATAAATGACCTTCACCAATTTTCAAGGTCACAGGGGTCAAATATATAAACAACTTCTGATGAATAACCAAAAGGACCAGTATGGTGATATTTGGCCGGTAGCATGCTGGGATGAACGACTACCAGGTTTGTTCAAATGAATGACCCTTCACTTATATTCAAGGTCACCGAGGTCAATTATCTTAAAACAACTTCTTCTGAATAACCAAAAGGACTGGTATGGTGATTTTTGGTCAGTAGCATTCTGGAATGAAAGGCTACCAAGTTTGTTCAAATAATGACCTTTACCCACATTGAAGGTCACAGGGGTCAAATATGTATTAAAAACATTAAACAGCTTCTTATGAATAACCAAAATGCCCAGGATGATGATAATTGGCCAGTAGGATGCTTGGACAAAGGGCTACCAAATTTGTTCAAAGGAATGACCTTCGTATGTATTCAAGATCACAGGGGTCAATTGTCTTGAAAAACCTTTAAACAACTTCTTCTGAACAACCAAACATTAGTAGGCTGCTGATATTTGGTCTGTAACATGCTGGGATAAAGGGCCACCAACTTTGTTCGAATCGATTACCTTATTGAAGGTCACAGGGGTCAAATATGTTTAAAATCTTTTAAACTTCTTCAGAATAACAATAAGGCCCAGAATGTTGATATCTAGCCAGTAGCATGCTTAATTGAAGGGCTACCAAATTTGTTCAAATAAATGACCTTTGCAAGTATTCAAGGTCTCAGGGGTCAATTGTCTTGAAAAATCTTTTAACAACTTCTTCTGAATAACCAAAATGCCCAGGATAATGATATTTGGCCACTAGCATATTCGGATAAAGAGCTACCAAGTTTGTTATTGGGCCTGTAGCACGCTGGGATGAAGGGCTACAAAGTTTGTTCAAATGAATGACCTTGACCCACTTTCAAGGTCACATGGGTCAAATGTCTTAAATCTTAAAATCAATTGGTTTGAAAACCCTTTAATCAACCTCTTCTGAATAACCAAAAGGGTGATGATATTTGTCCAGAAACATGCTGGCATGAAGGGCTACCACTTTTATTCGAATCGATGACCTTTATCTATATTGAAGGTCACCCGGTTCAAATATGTTTAAAAACTTTAACCGCTTCTGAATAACTAGGAGGCCCAGAATGTTGATATCTGACCAGTAGCATGCTTGTATGACAGGCTATCAAGGTTTTTCATTTGAATGTCCTTGTCCCACTTTCAAGGTCACATTTGGTCAAATATGTATAAACCTTTAAATGAATCTCAATAACAATGGGCCTGCATTGCTCACCTGGTACAGATGTATTAATCTCACACTTGTGATCTTAAAAGTGGACTAAAATACAGCTACGGGCATAATACCAGTGCTTGATTTATAAGAAACTATTAAAAGATTTAATCATGTGACGCCTGTGACCTTGAATGTCGAGCAAGGACATTAGGTTGAAAGTGGGTCAAGGTCATTCATTTGAACAAACTCGGTAGCTCTTCATTCCAGCATGCTACAGGCCCAATAGCAGTACCCTGGGCCTTTTGGTTATTGAGAAAAAGTCGTTTTGAAGATTTTAAGACATTTGACCCCTGTGCCTTTGAAAGTGGGTCAAGGTCATTCATTTGAACAAACTTGGTAGCCCTTCATGTTACTGGCCAAATGTAAGCACCCTATGCCTCTTGGTTATTTCGAAGTTGTTTAAATGTTTGAAACATATTTGACCCCTGTGACCTTGAATATAAGTCAAGGTCATTTTATTTGAACAAACTTTGTAGCCCTTTATTCCAGCATATTACTGGCCAATTATCATCACCCTAGGCCTCTTGGTTATTCAAAAGAAGTTGTTTAAACGTTTGAAACATATTTGACCCCTGTGACCTTGAATATAAGTCAAGGTCATTTATTTGAACAAATTTGGTAGCCCTTCATCCTAGCATGTTACTGGCCAAATATCATCACCCTAGGCCTCTTGGTTATTCAAAAGAAGTTGTTTAAAGGTTTAGTTATATTTGACCCCTGTGACCTTGAATATAAGTCAAGGTCATTTATTTGAATAAACTTGGTAGCCCTTCATCCCAGCATGTTACTGGCCAAATATCATCACCTTAGGCCTTTTGGTTACTGAGAAGAAGTTGTTTAAAGTAAAAAATTGATGCTGGACGGACCCCGAACCATGCCATAAGCTCACTTGGCCCTTTGGGCCAGGTGAGCTAAAAACAAAAAGACAAAGATAAATACTAGATATATAATACTTTATTCTGTAATAAGGATTTTTTTAAACTTTAGAAAAATAATATCACACAGACTTCTGTAACAGCTGTCTACATACAACACCGACAAGTCTATAAAAACATAGAACATTTTCAAACCCTCGGTCATCCTCGATACTCCAGTGGTTACGCTCACTGCACCCCTGAGCCTGTATTCATGAAACTGTTCTTATGCTCATTAAGCATGGATTCTGTGCTCAAACCAATTTTATTGTAACTCATTTAAAACATGTCAAAGATCAAAAAGTCAAATGTAAACATTGAAAACTATATTCGGCTATAAATCTCTTTAAATGTTTTCCAAATCATAGACAAAATAAGATTTTCTTAAAAATTTATTACAGCAACAAGAAATTAGGTTTGAGCACAAAATCCATGCTTGAGCATAAGAACGGTTTCATGAATATGGACCCTGGAATACTGTCATAGCAAAGTCAAAGGCACACAGCTAGCTTTTTGATTGGTCTCGGGTAAAAAGAATCTGACCAATCGCAAGGCTGATACTTGTCCTTTGAAGATTACAGAGGAGCGACACCCAACTTCAAAGCCTGTCAAGTTTACTGTCATAAGACCGAGGGATTTCTTTTGATGTACACCAAAGGATCAAACTAGTCTCCTTGTCTTACCCACAAGTTGTGCACACCGAGCCTTCGATTTTGCCAGGACATATTCCAAGGGTGCAGAGAGTGAAAGTGAACATAATCCCTGGAAGGTCATTGGTCAGCTTGTACAGGGTAATGGAGAACTTGACTCCGAGAAGAGGATCCCTTGGACTGACCACTATACTGCTTGGCTACTCAATACATCACTTTATTGTAAGTTCCTACGTATACAGATATAATTGAAAAAGGGAACTACTTTATTATCTCCCCTTATTGATGTTATAGGAAGGGACGAGTGCAATGAGCCAGACCAAGAATGGAACCCATCCGAACCCCCAAACTGAA